ATGAGTGTGTGTGTGAGTGAATGAGTGTGTGTGTGAGTGAATGAGTGTGTGTGTGAGTGAATGAGTGTGTGTGTGAGTGAATGAGTGTGTGTGTGAGTGAATGAGTGTGTGTGTGAGTGAATGAGTGTGTGTGTGAGTGAATGAGTGTGTGTGTGAGTGAATGAGTGTGTGTGTGAGTGAATGAGTGTGTGTGTGAGTGAATGAGTGTGTGTGTGAGTGAATGAGTGTGTGTGTGAGTGAATGAGTGTGTGTGTGAGTGAATGAGTGTGTGTGTGAGTGAATGAGTGTGTGTGTGAGTGAATGAGTGTGTGTGTGAGTGAATGAGTGTGTGTGTGAGTGAATGAGTGTGTGTGTGTGTGAGTGTGTGTGTGTGTGAGTGTGAGTGAGTGAGTGTGTGGGTGAGTGTGTGGGTGAGTGTGTGTGGGTGAGTGAGTGTGTGTGTGTGAGTGTGTGTGAGTGAATGAGTGTGTGTGTGAGTGAATGTGTGTGTGTGTGTGTGTGTGTGTGTGTGAATGAGACTTTGTGCACCTCTGTAGACTAAATCTCAGCATGCATTTACTCATCTCACCTGCACAAAAACAGATTCAGTATTGCACAAAATCAATAAAAACAGTGAAATACAAACTCAGAATATGACACAAACCTGCAATAATTAAATATGTTAAATAACATAGATAACCTTTATGTATTTAATCCCATTTTATTAACCAATGTCTTTGCTGTTGACTTTCAATGATCCAATTCAACTGCACTAAGAAGCAGAAATGACTTTAGATAAACATTACATTTGTGTTTCATTTTTTATGATTAAGAACAAAGGTGTTGAACTTTCTTCTCATGCATCCTATTTTTCATGCAATCCAGAATGGCAGCACAGCTGAAAGCATTCACTTTTGGTGGGAAAGTGCTTTTACGTTTGCCAAAAATAGAACTCTTTCATATTAAAAACAAACAAGCAAGCCCAGCTGAGATGAGAAAAAGTAATGCAAAAGTAACCTAATGCATTACTTTCCATAAAAAGTAACTAAGCAAGTTTTAGGAAGTAAGGCAATATCATAATGCATTACTTTTAGTACCTATGATCAGATGAACCTAATGCATGTTAATATGCCCTCTACCATTAACAAATTACATTCTATAAGCACACATATGTGTTGTAGCAATAAAATCATAGACATACTACATCCGCCATGTTGGGATTGTCACGTGACTTACAGTAACAGTACAGTATCGGCTGTGTTGTTTTTTTCCATCATTTGTGAATATGATGACTCCTGTAAAGCATAATAATTAGTGCTGTCAAACGATTAATCGTGATTAATATACATAATAAATGTGCACAGTACACACACACATATTGTGTAAACAAAAACTTTTATTTTGGATGTGATTAATCGCGATTAATCGGTTGACAGCACTAATAATAATTAACCCTTAATAATACACTTTCCATTGTAACTAAGGGTTTTCTTCTTTTAAAGGGTTTCTTGCAAGTGGGCCCAAGTATTGTTTTGCCTACTGTTTCATGACTACAGCTTATTCATCCATATTCATTCAGCATGGCCTGCTGCTTTTAGCATATATATATATATATATATATATATATATTATAGCAGGGAGGCAGGCATGTTCAGATGTGCCAGTTGGTATCTAAAAGCTAGGTTCATTACGCAAATGAAAAGATTTGAGAAGATTACCTAAAACAACATGTAGGTTTAAAATATTGTTCAGCTTGTCAGTCAATGTTAATTTGCAAATGAGGCAGAAACCGTAAAACTGGAAAATACATGACATGTCACAGTGAAAACATTTGTCTCGCGTGATGCATAAATGTCTCAACACCTGGGAATCTGTGCTGTCATAGTGACAAAGTAGCAATTTTCAAATATGTAGACAAATAAAATGTACAAATGTAACATTCTATTTATCAATGTAAAAAATTTTTTTTTTAATATATATTATATATATTTTTTATTCATGTTTGTTCATAATGCAGTAACTAATGTAATTTTGAGATAAAAAAGTACTTTTCACATAAAAAAAAAAAACATATTGCTGGTAAAAATGAACATTAACTGAGATTAATAAATTAATAACTATTATTAACTAACAAGAAATGAATGAGTAAATATTAGCACTCATTTGAATACAGTAGTTCACTATTAGCTCCCAGAGAACTTCTAAGAAAATATTGATCGCTGAGTGCTATTACTGACCAATCAAAACATGTTTCTTGTTGGTTAAGAGTGGAGACTAAAATGTTAATATTGCGAAGCTTGTTTGTTGTGGAACCCTGTTTTGTTTTTAATTAATGCTGGAGCAGCAGTCTGAAGTGTTACCAAATGCTGTGAAACACTGTTCATTGATACTTTGTGATACCTAAAGCTTTAACTGATTTGAAAGAGCTGAACACTGTTGTTTGATGAACAGCTGGATGTGTGATAACACGCAGATGTTGTACGTTAGATAATAGCTGCTCACGTTTAGTTGTGTGGCTCTGAGACTGTGCGCTTTGTCACTGTGTGTTTTATTCAGTGCCAGACTTGTTTGCAGCGCCTGGAATAGAAACCATCCTTCAGCAATCAGAGCTTGGAGGAACTAGATCCTGTGCCTTCAGTCACAGCTGCCACAGTCTGTTCAGATGCTTTACACCAGTTGCCCTTCAGCCGCAGCGTGAGAGTGAGCCGTGGGTTTCCTCGAGGTCTTCCTTCAGCTTGCCTCTCGCGAAAGCGTAGGTGCTCGCGTGTGAATTAGAGCTGTTTTATATTCCTGCATCTCCGGCTTCTCATTTCAAATATTGTCTTCATAAATGAGGAGGTTTTGGGAGTTTAGAATGACGCACTATCTACTGTTTTTGAAAGCAGTATGCAGTGTGCAGTGCACATTATGCATGCATTTCTGTCATTTTTTTCTGTATATTTCTGATTAGACTGAAGCCAGGAACAACAAATCTACAAGCTTGGAAACAGAGGGTTTTTGTAGATTGCTGACTAAATAAATAAATAAATAAACATAATTACAAATAAATTAGAATAACTGTTTATTAGTACTGTGTTTCTCAGCATGTGATGGGCATCAGAGAGAACGGATTTAAAGTGCTTTTCATTACAAAGTAATTTGTAATCTGATGCATTAACTAACGAACTGACAAATAAATATCGCCCTTCTGTAGCGTCAAACGTAATTAGCTGCTGCACTCTTTTTGTTAGTAGCTTGTAATGTTGCTGACTATTTTTTCACAATGTTTGCTGGTCTATAGTTGAACTTCTTTAAATGATGTGTAGCTTGTAGTTTGTCAAGCCGGGTTTAAAGTAGTTTCCCCAGCACTGATGAGCAGTTTTTCTCTGTAGCCACTTACAAATCAAAGTTTCAGATGGGTTCAGGTAGCAGACGTGGTGTGGATTATTCCAGCCTGAGGGAAGTGTTGTTCTGAGCGAGCGGGGAGCGCACAGATTAATGCTATTAGTAAACCCAGGACAGCATGACATCGGCTCCCTAATCTACAGATAATTGAAAAGTGTGGGAATGCCTTGTATAATCAAATAACAAATAAATAAAAAAAACAGAAGCAAACTCTCAGTTTAAATTCCATAATCATCTGAAACTGGGGTCAGAGCTAGAATCAAACTGCATTAACTTCACAGAAACACAAGAAGACGACATGAGAAGGGCTTCACCCGTGACGCTCATGACTCAAGAACGGTGTCCCTCTCACAATACAGTCCCAATAGTTCGAGCTACTGCACACAGACACGATTCTTTGACAGCTGAAAAATAATGCAACTGCACTGTTCAGTACATTGAGCTCTCCTCTAGTCAGCGAGCCTGGTAAAGCCAGTATAAATGGCTTTTTTCCCTTCTTCATCAGGTCCGGGACACTGTAACGCACACACAGGAATACACTGGTGGACTCATCTGACTGCTGCCAGCAACGCTGTGTGTGGAACTGTCCATGACATGCATAAAATAAAACAACAAACACACTGTATTTCCATGGTCTTTGCCCAACTGCCCTAGATTTACAGTGCAGTGTCTCTAGCGCTGACTGTGTGTCTCAGAAAGATCTTGAAAGAAACTACTGCAACCACTATTAAACTATTCTATTTAAAATTGTGTTCTGACAAAATGAGTTAATAACTGAAACAGTAAAAGAGAAAGGTCAATTTATTCTGACTTCCAGGCATCTGAATATTTACACGTTTAATTGTCCATATTTTAATTGAAGGTATGTCATAATAGAAACAGCATGAATTTAAATTAGAAAAAAAAAAAAAAAAAAATGTAATAAATGATTTTCCTCTATTAGCCTGCGGGGTTGTAGTGAAAGCGAAGATGTCTGAAATGTACATCTAATTCATGGAAATATTAAATAAGAACCCCATTAATTAGAATAAGTATTCAATTCAAACACTAGTGGCCCATCTTACCTCAATGGTCTAATTTTATCTTTTCACTTCAAAATAAAAACAAAATCCTTCAATCTAAAAACATTAAAGGGTTACTCCAGGGTTACTAACCCTTTAACATTGATCCACAAATCCGTCATTAATCAATAGACACTAAAAACTTTGATAATGAACATAATAATGTTGGGTGTGTGGCTCATCTTACCCTACTATAGTAAACAAGGTAACCCAGCGGACACCTTCATATCAGTTTGACGTCAAGTATTAGTCAAGACCTGATCAAGATGCTGTAACATCATTTTAAACTCAGTTTGGACAGCAATTTCTTCCAGGGGTAACTGGGAGAAAACTGGTTTATTGTAAATGTAGGCCAAAATGTTTGACGTTCAATTTACATCGAATCACCGTCATGTCAAGTATTTGACGTCACATTGATTTGCATGTTTGACCTGTATTTTAGACATCAGCTTGTTGTTTTTCAGCATCTGTGGGTGACGTCAGCTGTGATCCAGGGCTGTGTTAGACTGCAGATTTCAGTGGGCTGTGTTTTTCTCACGGCACACTTGGTTTGAGTTTGAATCGCTAATGACCCACCTGAGCACACAAGTGTAAAATCCATTGTCCTCCATCTCTGCGGAGCGGAACCAAACGGAGTCTCCCTCCTTACTCAGCCGGTGACCCGAGAAGATGATGGGCTCCTCGGAGTCGCCCTTGTTCCTGTACCAGATGAGCCGCAGCTTGGCATTCTGGGCCATGCTGTAGTTGGTGCGTATGTAGCTGTAGAAGAGAGCGCACTTCACCCTCAGCGGCTCTCCGGCCAGCACACGGTACGTCTTCAGGTCCACCAACCAGTCGATACAGCCGTCCACTGCGGAGAGAGAAGACGCATCCATTATTAACACCCCCTCGCTGTCATATGCAGGGCTTACTCTGGGAATAGGATAGATATCTGGAGTCTGAAACATACGCTCAATGCCAAAGAGCGATAACAATGAATCTGAGGCGACATATAATTGATGCAATGCTGAAAACCAGGTTTTTGTATAGGACTTCTTAGTACCGTATTGGCCCGAATATAAGACGACCCTGATTATAAGACGACCCCCCTTTTTCCAGATGTACCTTTTGGAAAAAGGCTTTTTAAAAACCAAATCTTGTTTTTTCTCAGTTAAACACATTTTGTCTTCAATTATTTTCATATTGCATATTTTTCCTATTTTAATTTTTGTTTTGAAAGTATGGTAAAAACTGGTACAATGTACCAACAATCACATTTAAAAAATATACACTTTTTGATATACCATTAAAAAAAAAAACAGGTAGCCCATCTGAATTAGGACATTTAGGCTATCCATCTAATAGTAGCCTACCAAAATCTTATTAACAGTAGAAGTTAAATCTTACTGTAGTCTTCAAATCTGGGTTCTGTCTTACGTTTTAAAATCACAAAGAGAGTTTGGTCCCATCAGGCTAACGTGACAGTCACGACTCATGCAGCTGTAAGGTTTGTTTTTACTCGCGATCTTTACAACACGCATTACATTACGTATTTCATGGCACACTCGTTTTATGCGTATTTGGCGTATTTGGCGACACCTCTCCATGATATCAAGTGTCCTTCATGTCTTTTATGGAGTTTCTTCTGCTCATCAAGGCTGTATTTATTTGATCAAAAATACAGAAAAAACAACAATATTGTGAAATATTATTGCATTTCTAACATTGGTTTCCTATTTTAATATCTGTTAAACTGTAATGTATTTCTGTGATGCGCAGCTGTATTTCCAGCATCATTACTGCAGTCTTCAGTGTCACATGATCTTCAGAAATCAGTATAATATGCTGATTTATTATCAGTGCTGGAAACGGTTGCTGCTTCATATTGTTTTGGAACCTGTGATAATTTTTTCAGGATTCTTTGATGAATAAAAGGTTAAAATAGAAATATTTTCTATCAATAAAAGTTTACTATCACTTTTTTCCATTAACACATCCTTGCTGAAAAAAATATTCATTTCTTAAAAAAAAAAATACTGTTAAAGACTACTGTTAAATAATATAAAATCTTTAAATAATCAGCGGCTAAACGCTTTTATGAAGGTAATGATCAGAGCGAAGCAACCTCTGAAACAGAAGCAAATCCCCTGCACTGCCATCAGCAAAGAGCAACAAAGCCGTTTCCCTCTCACACACACGACACTCGCCGCACGCTCGCCGCGCTCCAATATTTCACACTGATAGAAAAATGAAACCCATCAAAGTCACGGCCACCTATCAGCACCGAACGTTGGAATTTATGAGCAATTACAGAGGTGTTTGTGTGTGGATACTGACTCATCACTGCACCCGCCTGCCATCACATTAATATCTCTCACATTCAAAAGCTGCCAGCGCCGATTTATGTCAAGCGCTGTCACAATCACACATTTATGGCATAGATTTTTGTTATATACGCTCGGCCTGATGAATCTCACAGCTGCGGGAAAGATGGAGGGAGAAAGTGGTATCACACATGACTGGACGGGAAGAGAGGGTTGATTCTGAAGGGCTAGAAATCACACACACACACACACACACACACACACACACTGCCTGACCTGCTTCCAGCGCGCCGGCTCGCTCTATTATCAAGCAGTACAGCAATTCCAGCTATGAAAGCTGAAGGGGTACAAAAAGTCAATATCAGAACAGCAGCCCACCGAACGCTTTGTGCTGATATGCAATTTCATTGCCGACATGCGTCTGATAGCTTGTTTATAATTCTCCTAAAGTGTGACTGAACAGCTTGTAGTGGACATGTATCTTCAGACAGAAGTGGAGCCGGCTGGACGAGGACGCCCGGGGTGAAGCGGTCTTATCAAAGGCTAATCAATATGGAAATGCAGCGAGGGTTAGGGCACGCCATTGCACCTGTATGCGGGATGCGTTTGATCGACTGCAGCGCAGCTTTGACTCTCCGCAGGCCGTTCATTTGAAGCCTGTCATCGCCATAAAGACTAGAGAGGACCATTAGTGAGCTGCTGTCTATGTAGGCAGCTACCTTCTAACTAAACCGAGCCTGATTGGAAACATTCTCCACAAACAACCTCAAATACTTCCAATGTTACTGAGCTAATGATGAAACAAACTAATGAGCACACAATCTATCAGGTGCATCAGCGGCTTTCATTAAGATTATTTTTATTGCATGAATGTTAACAGTTCATTAATTCATGATTAATTCATTATCATTTAGTATATTAATCCGCTTAAGATTCATTGTAGCTTTCAGTAAGTTTCAGGGATGAATCTCATGAATAATGAATGTTTTCAGAGAATGGTTTACTGTAAAAAGCCTTGCTGTTGCAGAGGCTCACTATGCGTCAACTGGCAAAGAAAAGGACCATTTCAAATAGGAAAGAGGACTTTTAACTCTAAAGGCAAGGAGTAAAAGACGAATATACCTGATTATTAGCCTTAGCTTGTAGCTTTTTACTAGAAAAATAACCCTTAGTAGTGTTGTGATTTTCGAAGCAGTTGCTCTGAATCTGAGTGAACCTGTGCTCGTCTCCGGTGTGTTGGGTTTCTTTTAGAAACAGTGAGATCATGAGGGCATTCAGTAAGTACTGCAGCGACCTCTGCACTTCTGAAAGCTGTAGATGACAGTGTGAACGTTCATGTGAAACAAAACCAGAGCTGGCAGCGTATATGTGTTTGACAGAAGCTCTATAACAAAACTAGCCTTTTCATTTGCTTCCATTCCCGCTCACTCATAAGCCACGTCATTCAGTAGTATCACCCGTCACACCTCATGACATAAGAGAGGATTGTTTCAATGAAATCCACAAACAAGCGGACAGAGAAGTGTAAACTGGGCCTGATTCCCTCAAACAAAAGAACACTGACTGCAGAGTCCAGCACTGATCACACATTCTGTGTCCATGCCTTTCACCGCTTTCCACTGTAAGGTCATCACTCATCATCGCAAATGACTTCTTAAAAGGAGGACCATGTTTTACACTGTGAAAGCATCAAATATTTAAATAGGTGGTCATCTGTACTTCTTTCCAACATTTTTAAGTTAAGTGTCTTTCTACAGAGTTTGTCTTCCACTTGTTCACTGGTGGCTTGAAGCCTATATTCTCTGTAGAACAGTATGTATTGTGCAAACTGCTACAAGCTGGACTTGAACTGAAGGAGTTTCTCTTAGTGATTGTGCATCTGCAATAGTGAGGAGAAAAGAAAACACACCTCATATGATGGATAGAAAAGAGTTTTCTGTAATGTACAGAATGTAGCCTGGAGTAGGAATGAGACGCTTGTAAATTGCATATTTTCAAAAGATGAGCACTTGCTTTCCTGGATACCGTTGGTCAGTATAACATTTGGATGGTAAAACAAATACTGCACGGTTTACTGGCGCGTTTAACCTGAGATCTCGCCGCTGTCCTGCTGGAATAATCCACTAGATTCGCGCTTTATCAAAAGCCAACCCACCTTCAATGTCTGCTCAGTGCTTACGGCTCTAGGCCAGTCAGCAGCTGCCTTTGTGTTTAATGGGAGCTGATCATATTCTTCTCTTAAGTGTGTGCTTAATTGGTGTCATCGCTTGAGGCGCAGCTACAGAACAGACCAAAGCCTAATTTTAGAGCTATTTTTACATGATTGGTTTGGTAAGAGGTGTTAAGCGGCGCTTACACAGAGGTTTGACTGGCCACTGGGCAGCGGTTCAAACGCAAGGAGCGTAACACTTATTGTGCTAAAATTATACAGATTTTTTACATATATGAGTTCAGTTTTAGTTCAAGAGAACAAGCTGCGGTACTGAACTGACCATCAGGGTGCATTTCTGTCATATTTCTCGTAGGAGAACATACCAATTAAACCTGCCAATTTTACATTCCATACTAAATATGCTATACACATATTGTAGTGCATATTCACAAAGGTAACTGAAAGACCATCTGGCCTTCCATAATACACAGCCCCATGTTGTTTTCAGATATGAATTTTTCATTGAAACCATATGCTCGTATTACAGCACCATCTGAAATACCAAATGAATTTCTGCTTTTATAATTATTTTTCACTTATATTCTGTTACAGTGTCATGATTTGGCCACTGGACCGATCAGTTAAATCAGTATCCACAACCACGACGTTATCCAACACTTATGATTGAATTAATAAATAATGCATCAAGAGTAATAACGTGGTTACATAAGCATGCATGAGATCTCATTAGAGCGAGACTGATGAATAATCTACAGTGACGACAGCGCAGGTCTGAAATATTCCTGATCACCAAAGCAGTGGTCATCTCTATGTAATAAGAGTAGGAAAGAATATGCCAGATTCATTTATCTCAGCCTGTTGTATAAATATTGCTGTGCGTTTCAGACTCATCTGTTTGATCCTGTCAATAGCGTTTTGCAATTCAACATGAACTCAATAAATGCACACAGTAGTTAAAGTCACTAGTTAATATAAAGTGTGACCCGAGACTGCTGGATTCTTCATATCACTGCTGAATGTAAACTGCAGTATATTAGCATCCAGCTCTAATCTGCTAAATGCAACTATGAGGTCTGAAGATATTACGATATTATATTACAGACATTATTCTGTAAAGCTGCTGTGAAACAATGAAAAGCGCTGTATAAATGCATTTGACTTGACCTGAAATGAAACTTGCTTCTGGTTTCTCGACAGCACTGGAGCTCAGGGAGTCAACTTGAAAGCAAAGCCAAGACAGCGAATTAAGAAGTGAGCTTTAGGTTTTCTCAAGAAAACATGAGCACTGTTGGCCCGTGTGGTGTCCCACTTATTAGTGCAGCTGTTTAACTGTGAAACCCACAGCAGAGGGACTGAACAGAGCGAGCCACTATA